TGGAGTTTTTAGAGCAATTTGACAGGAAAAAATGAATAATAAGAATTACAAATATTTAAATATTAATATATTGATTAAGTAAAAAGAAGCATTATAACAAGAATGATTGACAACAGTGTAACAACATTAAAGAATAAAGGTATTTTAAGCTGGTGAATAAATGTCAGAAGCTTTATCAAGTAAGTCCAGGGAGGTAATTGAGGCAATTTCAAATTGTTCCCATAAGCTGAATATTTTGCTCTGAATATTCTGATATGCTTTTCTTTGCTGTCTACAAATTTTCTTTTCACTCAGTAATTTTTTATATAGCTTTATCAGATCAGCTTCTCTTTTCAGTTCATCTAAAAGCAAATAGAATGCAGTGTTAGAGCAAAGATTCTTGTTAAGCCTGTGATGCCATCCTTCAAGATCATTATTTGTCCTTATAGCCTCACCATAAACAGACCATACCTCTGGTTTATAAAATCCATTTATCCATTGTGTCTCAATGTACTCCAATAGAGACTTCATTTCAATAGGACTTATTTCTTTAATAGTCTTAAATGTTGGTTCTATCAGATCAGAGGGCAGGAATGGTAATGCCATTAATTTCTTCATGATTCTATATTCAGCTTTTTTCTCCTTGTACATCTTACATAATCCTAATTCCTGGAAATAAATATGTCAGTTCTATCTAGACCTCAAATACTAAATTAAAGTATTACTTGAATCTTTCTGTATATTGCCTGTGTCCAGTGAAAAACACACCCTTTAATGTTTGCTTCAGGATAAGTGAATGATAGTGCTTTCCAAATAGCTTTTTCAAAGTCTACAACAACTTTTTTGGGGCTATGCCCATTTGTTAAATCTTGTATTGCCTGTTAATTTAACAAATTAGATTATTCAATTTAAAATGCAAAATTATTGTACCTTAAATAATTTCTTGTAGGCTGTCTTTCTCTTAGATCCCATAAAAGCAAAAGCCATTGGAATTTGTTTTATTTCTCCATTTTTTTTTATAAATCCATGAATAGAAAAAAGTTGATAAAAAGGGTCTTTCACACATTTAAATGTGCCATCCATAAACCATATTTTGCCTTTAGATAATAATTCAATTTGCTTTGTAGTTGAAAATATTAGTATTCTATCATTCTCCATTTGTATATCCATTTGTAAAAAATCATCAGGAATAAAAGTTTTAGCCAAGTTGAAGTGAATACTTTGAGGTTCAGCTGGTCTAAACTTCTTTCTTGTCCAGTTTGCCAGTCTTGTACAATTATCTAGAGATGGAATAACTTCACCAGAACTACAATGTTTCACCAGAACATCTTCAGCTAAACGTTTTCCTGAACTACTGATATCTTTATTACAAGCATTTTTTAGTTCATTCCTAATCATTATTTTTTGTTCCAAATCAGGTACTCTTTCATGAGAATGGGATAACTTTCCAGGATAAAAACTGTTCCCATGCTGACTAACTGTTGCTGAACATTTGTTTCTTTTGTTCCTAACACTGCATATCCAGAATGTTGTCTTGTTTCTTTTTTCTTTAATATTGTAGCAGAAATTGTTGAAAAGTAGCAAATCTTTTCCTTTCTGGCTCATTCCCTTTAAGATTTTAAATGAATAACTTTCTTTCTCACAATCTGATTTTGGAGAAACTATAAATGAAACTTCCATCATATTATTTTGCTGAGCTGGAAGATCTTCAACTAAAACATTGTGTGATTCCATAATACTGCCATTTGTATCATTTCCACTTGAATTTCCACAATGATTTTCACAAACAATAGTTTGCTCATTTCTATTATTTGCTGTATCAAAATTTGGTGTTTGTCTTATTTCTTCATTAGCAGATGCACTAGAAGGTAGCCTTTGAAGTGCAACAATGCATTTCTTCATTGATATGTCACAGCAAATGTTACAATAAAATGATTGATCTGTGAAAAAATATAAAAACATATTTGTAAGGAAGGATAGTGACAAAAAACTTAAACAAACCTTTATAATCCAAACATTTTTTATGTATTTTAAATAAATGACAGCAAAGCTGACATTTCTCTTGATTTTGTCTTCCATATATTCTCTCTTCACAAATGTAACAAATTGGTGCCATGTTCAATTTGGAATCTCTATCAATAACCAACTGTATAAATTTAAAAATTAAACAATTAACAATAATGATAAACAAAATGGCTGCTATAAAAATAAAGCTAATTTATAAATAAATCATTTCAACACAATATTCTATAACTTACTGATATCAATTCTAAAGTTTGTGTTTTTTCTGATGGTTTTCAATAGTGAAATATATTTCAAACTGCAAAAAATTCTGAAAAATTGTAGATGAAATATGCACAATATTCACTTTCCATGAAAAACATAGAAGATCCCAGAACTGTTTCCTGTCTGGATTTCAAAATGGCTACCAAAAGTGATTGCATTATGGGAATGTATTGGATATATCTCAAAATCAATAATAAAAATTTAAATTTGAAAAAGTATTTTTTAATATATTCTTCACATAGTGGACGTTTTCTCCAGTGGACGTTTTCTCCAACCAGTGGACGTTTTCTCCAATCAGTGGACGTTTTCTCCAGTGGACGTTTTCTCCAGTGGACGTTTTCTCCATAATTCTCTTTCTCTAACAACAGTGAAGCAGGTACTACGAAAAAATAACTTAAATGGGAGAATTGCAGCCAAAAAACCTGCTTTATCTAAGAGGCAGATAATAAGTAGGAAAGAGTTCTGTAGAGAGAGAGAAAACTGGGGGATTGAAAATTGGAAAAAAGTAATTTTTTCTGATGAATCAAAGGTTGAGCTGCATCCTAGGAGAAGGGAGTTTGTTAGGAGGCCACAGGGTAAACGGAATGACCCCAAATATACCACAAAAACAGTAAAATTTGGGGGAGGGAATATAATGGTGTTTGGCTACATTAAGTTCAATGGAGATAGGGGCCTAGCTTTAGTATCTAATCGCATGACAGCTTTGGATTATGTCAAAATTTTGAGCAGTCATGTTGTCCCAAATTATAGGAGAGGGGAAATTTTCCAGCAGGATGGGGCTAGCTGTCATACAGCAGCCAGAACAAAAGCGTACCTTGAGAGAAAGGGAGTAGAAACACTGGATCCATGGCCAGCAAACAGCCCAGACCTGAACATAATTGAGCAAATATGGGGCATATGCAAAAAACGTTTAATGGCACATAAGCCAAGAAACAAGGATGAGCTGTGGGAGATGTTCAGAGAGGAATTTTATAAAATTTCAGAATTGGAAATTCAATTCTTATATGAGACAATGGAAAGAAGGCTTAGGGCAGTTGTAGAAGCTAAGGGTATGCACACAAAATATTAAGGCATTAAAAAATATAATATCCTGTAAATAACAGTCAAAATAAGAACAAAAAAATACTTTTAATATTCTTTTAGAGTAATTTTTGTGATTGTAACAAGTACTTATGCTCCCATAGAAATAGGCCTACCACATTAAAATATCAATAATTCAGAGATTTGAAATGAAAAACGTATATTTTCTCTCTATAATGATAAGAAGAATATTACTAAATATAATAATATCCTTCATTTTCATTCTTTAAATACGGAAAGAGAAAAAATCAAGAAAATATTATTTTTTTGAGGTGTAACAGTGACTTACTGCCTGTACTGTATATTGTACTGCTCTTGCTGGCAAAATCTATGCGTTTGCAAGTTATAACAATACTGGTTCTACTCGAACCTTTAAACAAATGTTTAAATTAAAATGGTTTATTCGCAATAATAATACTTAAGCAAGTAACAATATGAGAGTTCGATAGCAGAGTAGATAGTTTGTAAAAGCAGGTTGCCAAATTACCAAACTGTCTTCTAATGTTGAGGAGTAGATGGATGGTTCCAGTGGAGGTTGTTTCCAGATGATTTTCCCAGGTCCTTGGGTCCAGATGGAAGCTGCATGCCAAATGAGAATAATGAGAATTTATATACTTTGAGGTTTGTCTCTGACATCCAATCATCACTTTACAGTTGCCGAAATGTGTAGTTCATATTTATCTTTAGTAACAGGATGTTACAAGGTTCAACATTTAGGAAGGTTAATTGAATTATAACTTGGCCACACCCTAGGCAAGTTAATTAAATTATAACCTGGCCAAACCTTTATTGGTAATTAAAGATGAGCCTTCAAGCTGACTAATCAGACTTATGTTTGGCCAATGTTATAGCATTTTCTTGCGTAGGTTTTAAGATGTACATGTATATGTTGCATAAAATAATAGAGTTCAAGCATGTAAAATATAACCAAAGTTGTACAATATATATATATATGCCACAGACAGATTTAGAAATAGACAAGTAATCTTTAAAAGTATACACCATGTCAATTTACCTGTCTCTTTTTATATTCATGATTCTAATCAAAAGCTCCTTTAATTTAGGTAAAATTTAAATATTTCTTTTGAGATCAACAGAAAATGTTTAAGAAATAATCTTCTTTCATCAACATATTCTGTCTTATCATTTAATGTTTATTCAATTATTTCTAGCCTGTAATTTCAATTTGGAAGAACAGCAGGAATTTATTGGAACAATGATATATGATATAAATTTAAATTGGGTACCATCTCAAAGTGTTCAAGATTGCAAAGAATTATGTCAATATATACCGAATTGCAAGTAAAATATCCTTTCTTTATAATTAAATTACACTTTAAACTGAAGTTTTTGTTTTTTTTTAGGAGCTTTGTTCACAAACCACAAAGATATAATTTATTTTCAAACATAAAAGCTGGCAATAATCAAGGAAGTGACTTCTATTATGAAAAATCATCTACTTGTGGTATAAGATACAAATGTTTAATAGTTACATATTATACATACTCGATTTTTCAGACAACCTTGACCTTGATTTACGTAATAATATCTCTGTTTTCAATGTTCTATAAAAAAATATTTCTATTAATTGTGAAATTTTTTCAAAAAAGGGACTCTTCATAAAATTCCAGATACAGAACTTAATACTGATTGGTTTTTTAAAGGTTTAGCTATGCTCAATGATTGAAAAAAGTGGTGTAAACAATTCTTTCCATACAAGTTAGTTTTATTTTAGGAATATTCATAATATAAATTTTGTAAAAAATATCTATTTATAGAACAATAAATTATAGTCCTGAAAATGTATGCTACTTCTATAAACAGCCTTATTCTGCTTTCTCACCAAATACAGTATCAGGACGGAATGTTTATCTTGCAGATCCTGGTAAAATATTAATATATATACCAGTTAATTTCACTTTACACCAAATTCTTTCATCTACCCATTTTATTATATTTACAATTAACTTATCATTATAATACAATCAGCATATTGGGTGATTTTTAAGAGAGTTTGCAGGCATCCAACACAGCTTTCAAATTTTAGATTGATTTCGGTTTTCATATTAAAGTATGGGCATATCATATTTGAAGTCAGGTACTAATATACTTCTCAAAAATTTATTTGGATAATATTGGTAAAGCTCATTTGATGTCAGGACCACACTATCTCAATAGACATTTTTTCACTTATTATAATAGAGAAAGTAGATGAAAAAGTTTGGTAGTGAATTTTGGTTTTAATTATAGATTCAACAATTTTTGGAGAAAGGAGATAGAGAACACGTCAAAACAACTTTGGTTAGTGCGGGACTGGATTGGATAGGTTGGATAGCATAAAATAATAAAAACCACTCTATATGAACTGTTGTGATTTTGGGTTAGGGTTAAAGGTAAAAAATTGTGATTCTTTCTCCTATATCTATTGGGAAATAAGTTAAAAGCTGTCCCTGAAAGTAAATACTAAATTTATAGAGCTTTGTTTATATCATATTCTTTTGTTATCATTTCGAAATACTACTCACCAGTAGCTTACAATTGAAGGTACAGTATGAATTCCAAAATCGGAGTCTCTTATATCCGGATGCCCATGATTTATAGTTTTGGAAGCTCCGCTACTGCCATTAAAATATTGTTTTCCTATTTTAATGACAGATTGCTTGTCAAAACATTTATTAAAAATCTTCAAATGCTTTACATCTTTTAATAATTTCAACATTGAAACAATAGAGTTGACAGTATCATTTTGAAAACTGCAATTTGCGATATTGAGAGCCATTAATTCTTTACAACTATTGGCCAATTGATTAAAAATTATTGAACCATTTTCTTCTAATTTATTAAAAGATATATCAAGATGTTGTAATAATGATGAATTTTCCAAAACATTTACTAAATGAGGTGTAATACTTTCATCAAAACCGCAATTCGAGAAGGATAACATATAGAAATTATTCTTCTGCAAAGCTAATCCTTCAAAGATTTCCTTACCCAAAAAAGAACCAAAATTATTTCCAGACATATCCAAACTACCCAGATAAGGTTGATTATTCAATGCATGTACAATTTCAGTAGAATTTTCTGAATTAAAATTACATTCTCTCAAATCCAATACTATTAAACCTTTACAAAATTTTGACAAAACTTTAAATAATTGAATCGCAACGCTGTTTTCAAACTTATTTTTTGAAATTATTAACTCTTGTAGATGTTTTTGTTTTCGGATTATTTTTACTAAAAGTTCAGTAGATTCTTTACAAAGTGAACAAGAGCTACAATTTAATTTGATCAATTGAGTACTTTTCTCAGAAATTGGGAAAAATATTGATTTTGCTCCCTTCTCTACAGTACATTTGGAGATATTTAAATTTGTTAATTCTTTAAAATCATCTTTATTTAATGTACGAGAATTTTCAATTGCCATTGAAAATCCGCAATTTTCAAGATTTAATTCAGAAATTTTTGTACAACTTTCCTTGGCAATTTTAAAAATTACTGAATTATTTTCCATAGAAAAATTATTGAAAGATAAATCTAAATTTTGAATTGCTGTCATCTCTTTTACTCCTTTTGTAATATCTTCTGTAATTTCAGAATTTAGATTACATTTTGACAGATAAAGACTTTTTAAATTTTGCATTTTTTTGGAAATTGTTGCAAAAATTATTTTTCCAACTTTATTTCTAATTTCATTATTTGAAATATTAAAATATTCCAGGTGAGATAATTCTTCTAACGCGATTTTTAAATTTTCGCCAATAGTTTCGTTCATATTACACGAACTTATGTTCAAGTTTTTTAATTTTTTAATATTTTTAGATACATTTTTTAGTAGTGCATTTCCGGTTTCTGATCCTAGATTATTTTCTGATAGAATCAATTGGCAAAGGTTCTTTTGTTCTCCTATGGCTTTACTCAACAAACTTCCGTGAATGCTACTCAATCCGCAATTGACGAGTTTCAGACATGTTAAAGTTTTGCAGTCAGTTGAAAGTAGACTAAAAATATCATTCTTGTTCTGATCACTCATTTCCGTATTGCAAAGTTGAACAGTTTGAATTGATGATAACATTTTCAAAGCTTCTTTACATATATGGAATTTTTTACTATTTGTCAAATATATTTCAAGATCAACATCTTCAAAGTTCGTACAACTGATTTTCATAATTTCAAATAATTTTTTAAATGGAATTTCTGCATTTTCAATAGACGCCGACTGATTCAACATTAATAGAACAGAATTAATAAGAGTTTTAGCTTTTTCCAGATTAAATTCTTTGCTGTTTATAAACTGTTTTGGATCAACATCATTCCAATCGTTTAAATAGTATTCATTAAAATTGGAATTGAATTTCGAAAGAGAATCTAATTCGCAAAGAATACAAGATATCTCCAGCAAGTGTTTAGATTCTAATTTATTTCCGTACAAATATAATTCAATTGGTTTTGCAGTTGATCTGTGCAGTTTTTCCAGAAGACCAACAATAGCAGAATATTTAAAAGTGTTGTTAGATAAATCCAATACTTTTAGGTGCAATAGGTTATCAAGAATTTGCTTAAATTCTATTAGAAAATCATCTTTCAATTTGCAAGAAGACAATATCAAATCTTTCAGACAAGTCGAGGAAAAGGATATATCTTTTAGACTAATTTCACTCAAATCATTGTTTGAATAGTCTAAACTTTCAATATTGATAAACTTCTTTGGAAATAATTGACTTTTAAGGTCACAATTGCGTAATGTAATAGAAAAATCCTTCTGACTATTTGAATTGATATAACTCAACAAGTTTCTAACTGTTTTCTCCCTTAAATTGATATTATTGATTATAATATTTCTTAACTTTTTACAACTGCCAAATATTTCTGGTAATTTATCAATTTGACAACCAAAATCATTAACAACCTTATCTAATTTGATAGATGAAAGTCTATCTTTTTTGATATCATCTAAAATCTTATGAATTGCTACGGCATTAGAGTTCATTCCAAATTCCAGATTTTTAATTAAACCCTTCTTTATATTCCAGTTAAGCGTTTCAAAAACTTTTCCAAATTCATCGTCATTCAATTGAACAACTGGTAGAGCAACACTTTTTAATTTGTTTTTTGTAAATAGGCCTTTGAAAAATGATAATTTGCTATCATCTTCAATGCATATCTTATTCAATTTACATTGTTCAATATTTCTGTGAGAATAAAGGAAATGTTTGAAAATATCTTCTTTCAATGACAAATGACAATCATTTATACAAAGGGAGTTTATCTTTCTTAATTTTCCCAAAATTGTTTTTAAAACAGGCAGAACTATATCTGGCGAATTGCCAGAAAAGTCTACTTTCTCTAAAAGATAACTTTGCCCGAAATATTCTTCCAGATATATGCATTCATTCACTGAAAACTGGCAATGAGATAGATTAATTTTTTTCAAACATCCAAGATCTTTTAAACAGTTGCAGAAGACTGCAACACTGCCAGCTGCAAAAAAAATAGATATTTTTTAAAATTGATATATTTGTTTATTTTGTGTCTTACCAGAGAATTTGCTATAAGATAAGTTTAATTTGATAATATTCTTAAGATATTTAAAAAAGACAATATTTTCAGATGTAAATGTTATACAGCAATCTTCTAATTCCAGTTTTTCCAAAGACTTATGGTCCTCCAATTTCTGATAGTAATTTTCAAACTGTTCATTGTTTTTGCTAAAATTCATATTTTTGAGGCAAAGTTTATTGATCCTGTTAAAAGTGAATAATATCTCGGGAATAATGGAAAATGATAATTGACAGTGTACTCCATTATCAATACACATTTCTTGAAGACAATTTTTAATTGATGATTTTGCAATTTGAAAAATATCTTGAAAATTGAATTTTACATTCTTTAGCGATAATTTTGTAATTTGTATCCTTAAAGTTGAAGCAATAATCTTCCAAGCAGTTGTCAATAATGAGCCGCCATTTTGATGAAAAGTTCTCATTTTTCCCTTGACAAGTTTTTGTTGAGTATCGTTTAAAATTTCCATCAATTCTAAAATATCTAAATTTTGTGATATAAATATAAAAAAAACTTGAGAATCTAAATGTTGAAGAATTTTAAAAACTCTTAAAATTTTTGATGGATTAATATTTTTCCTGATTAAATCACCAAGTTCAATAGCATTTTTATTAAAATGAGGTTGGGAATCTTTATTTAAATCTCCATTTTTCGTTCTTTGAAAATATGTCAGAATATATTCTGCTAAAAAATAATCTTCAAATAAGGAATTAACAAATTTTAAATTTTGATCTAATTCCTCAACAATCAGACCCATTTTTAGTGCAATTTCGTAATCATTTGTTACTTTGATTGATTTTTTTAGGATAATTTTAGTGAATGAAGCCTTTGACAATTGTTCAATAATTCTATTTGATTTTATGTTGAATTTCTTGGATAAATTCTTTACAAAGTATTTGAAAATATTAAATTCATTAATTTGGGAAAAATCTGATATTCTTTCAAAAGTTACTGCAGTGATATAAGCCATAAATGGAGACGAACAAGCTCTGTGTAGATCATTTTTCATTCGTAGCCATTTTATAAGTTTATAAGTTTTTTTAAAATTTTTGAAGTGATTTTGGAAGAATTCTTTGTAGTTTATCTCATTAAATCCAGTTATTGTATACACATTATTGTAAATTTTTAGGAGATTTCTACTTTGATTATTCTTCTTCATCCAAACAAACAGAGGATATCTGAATGATGAAACCTCTCCTCTAACAATATTCTCTAAATGTTCAAATATTCTCTTTTTCCTTTGAAATTCGCTTTCGTTTACAGAATAGTCAATAAACAAAACGGGTATACAATTTTTATAAATTCGACATTCAAAAAGGAAATATTCAAGAAGACTTGCTGTTATTGAAGTTTTTTTTTTTTTGAAATTTTGATCCAAAATGGCTTGTAGAAAAGTTTGATTTTCTTGCACATCTTCTAAATTTAAAGAGAAAAAGAGAAAATTATTATAAAAATCTTTCTCTGTTGCCCATAAATATTGAAAATGCTTGAATAAGAATGTTTTGCCAATACCAGTTTCTCCTTGTATTAAAATACTTAAATTCGAATCCGGTTGTTGTTTTGATGTGATGTTATATCTTTCAAATTCGTATTTTTCGAATTCTGTTAATTTTAATAGAATGTTTCTATAGTCTTCTCTATTTGAATTTTCCCGCAGAGCCTTAGAAATATTGATTGGTGTAAACACATCTTTCAACCTCCTGTACTTTGAAGATAAAAGTGGTTTAACTACTCCATATTTATCCGTTTTATAACTTTTCATTTCTTTTTTCATTTCTTCCCAGAGATTTCCAATTTTTAAGAATAATCTTTCGGCAGGACCTTTCCCTAATTTTTCTAAAATTTCCAGAAAGACGTAACAAGTTAAAGATAATATTTTTCTTTCAACAAATTCTTCAAATTGATCAAAAAACATATCTTTATCGCTATTTTCGCAACATTTAGATACACAAACGTTGAAAAATCTCTCATCACCTCGAAAATTCAGAATATCTCTTCTAAAATATACCAATACGGCATCCATTATTGAAATTATTGGCAATTACAAACGAGGAAGACAGGTTTATTGCGTTCAACGAAAATAGCCCTTTAATCTTGTGGATTTCTTCAAATATTTTAAAAGCTTCTCTCTCTTTCGCACACTGCAAATCGAAAAGAAAAATAGGATTGCAAAATGAATTATTTTTATCAGCTTTTATGTCCATAAAGGTCACATTATTGATTTATAGAAAAGCAGTCATTGTTGTCAGTTTGTTGATGATGTTTTTATATCATATTTTTTACAATTTAGTAACGCCATCTGTAGTATAAATGTAGAATTTTTACAGAAGATCTAGATAACCAGGTAAAAAAATATGTGCCTAGAGCAACAGTTTAATTGTCCATAATGTTGACATTAACATTATTGACTCATTATCCAGCAAAGCTTAACTAAAGAGGGTTGAAAAGATGAATACAGTTGTGAAAAGTCCTTAATTTACATTATATTGTTTTAGTTGTTATGATTTATGATTTCTTATGTCAGTCCTTTTTAATTGAATAGTTTTCAATAGTAGAATTTTTTTACACTATTTCAGGTTGAGATGATCAAAAATGATCACATTTTTTTGACTAGAAGATGGAAGTAACACTTAAATTTTCTCTTCCAATATCCCTCATTAATCCTCCATAAATGTCATTTGTAATTTTGAAATTGTTAATAGTCCTATTAATGTGAATAAACTGAACTAAAAACACAACTTAAGGTTACAGTTTAATTGATATATAGTGATATGGTGCAGTTGTTGTATTAAGATACAGTGATAGTTAAAATTTAACTTTCACTCAATTTACAAATACAAAATATTGCTTTATTGATATTTTATATTTTGATATCAAATAGCCAGACTGTCCTGGCTTCACTTTGTCCAAACTGTGACATTTGAGTTTATGGCAGACAAAAGAAGATAAAATGTGTTGAATGCCCAAAATTTCTCCACCAAAAGTGTCTCAAAGGTAGATGTCTTTTCATTAACATATAGATAATTCTATTTATATTTAATATGCTCTTTTTTAAAGATCCAACTCAGCACATTTGCAATCTTTGTGAACCATTCTCCAAAATGACATTGAAATTCTTATATTGCAATCATACATGTATAGGTAATTATTCAATTGATTTTAAGATATTTCATGTATTTCTTTAATTGAAGCAGAAATGAGTGGAGGCTTGTGTGAATCTTGTAATATGATTACCAAGAAAACATGTTTTTTATTAGACTAAGAGATTGGATTCGATCTATAACTGGGGTTACTGCTCCTAATTCGGCTAGTTCTCTTAGTTTGTGAAAAACCTGAATTTCTGCTCCACAATTCCTACAAATGATGCTATGACCACCAATAACGCCATAATTGGTGTAGTACACCTGTCAATGAGAATAATGCCATTAAGTAGAAACCTGTTGGATTTAATGAATCTTTACAAGAGGAATATGATAATTTCCCAACAGTATCAAAGATAATATCATATTTTTTACCATTTCCTCTAAAGTCATTTTTAGTGTAATCTATTATGTAATCAGCTCCATTTGATTTAACCATTTCAAGATTTGTAGTACTACAAACTCCTGTAACAACTGTTCCATAGTACTTGGCCATTTGAACAGTTGCTATGCCAACACTTCCCGATGCTCCATAGACAAGAACTTTTTGATCTTTTCCAATTTTAGCTCCTTCTAAAAATTGAATAGCTGTTTCTGTTCCAAAAAGAATTGCAACAGATTCTGTATAGGATAAATTTTTTGGTTTCTCAACAACGCAACCAGTTTCCGGTAGGCAAATATATTGGGCATACATTCCAAAAGCAGATTCGGGTGATCCAAACACTTGATCACCTTCCTTGAATAATTCAACATTCTTTCCAATCTTTTCAATTTCACCAGCAAAACACAAACCCCAAATTGGATTTTTTGGTTTAAACAAACCTAAAGAAAATCTTGCTGGTATCCATAAAGAAGCTGGAATCTCTTTATAACCCCCGAAGTTTACAATCACCGGAAGTTGCCATAGTTGCGTGTATTTTCACTAATATTTCATTATCTTTTGGTATTGGTTTTGCTATTGTCTTCAATTCAAATACATCTTTTGCATCACCATATCCATTACAAATCATTGCTTTCATTGTTGCCATTGCGAACAAAATTTCCTTTTTAAAATAATGCCAGTTATTCCAACTCATATATATATATAAATTCTTTAATAGGCCTATATGTAAACTTTTTGTCCAAGATTTTATGATTCATTCAAAACGAATCGAAAAGAATTCAACTCGCGAATGGTGTCCATTGAAATGATAAAATTATTATAATAATTATTAATCAACATTCACCAGGTGATGATACAGGTATATGATTTATCAAAATGGTATTGTTGTATAGGA